GAGTGCTGGTGGGACTGAACTCAAACCTTCAGACATGTGCCACCATGTCTGAATTACAGACATGTGCCACCATGCCCAGCTTGGTCCTCTTAACAAATTTTAAAGTTCAGTTGTTGTGTTCTTCTGCTTCAAAATTTGTGTGGCTCTTTTCATATCCCCTCTGTGTGTGTGTGTGTGTGCTGGGGACTGAACCCAGGATCTTGATCCTGCCAGGCAAGTGCTCTGCCACTTTTTAAGACATGATACCCAGGTGATACTGGCAGAAATTCTGACAGCAGCAGGTGTAGGATAGGACCCGGAAAGCTGTATTTCATAAAAGTCCCCCAGGTGATTCAGATGTATACACAGGTTTGAAAATCACTGCTAGTGACGTCTGCTTTTAGTCCCTTCCACCTCTCAGCTCTCTCCAAAGTGCTATTATCTGCCTATCTGTACTCTCCTTTGTATCATTTTTTTTATTTTTTATTTTTTATTTTTTGTCTTTTTGAGACAGGGTCTCCTTATGCAGTTCAGGCTGGCCTTGAGCTTACTTTGTAGCCCAGGCTGGTCTCGAACTCACGATGATCCTCCTGCCTCAGCCTCCCGAGTGCTGGGATTACAGGTGTGCACCACCACGCCTGGCCCTTGTATCATTTGTTTTTCTTGGGGGGGTGCTGGTACTGGGAATCAAACTCAGGACCTTGTGCTTTCCAGGCAGGCGCTTATGCTACTGAGCTATAACCCCAGCACCCCCCACCTTTGTATCATTGGAAGGCTCTTGAAATCTATCTGCCTCTGAGCAGCCTTCCTGGATTGAATCCTGTCTGCCCACAATTTCTTGTGACTCTTCCCAGTCCTCTCTACCTCAACTGAGCCTGTTCTTTCCATCTATATATTACGTGGGTATTTCCATCCCACTGACGTCCTGTCTGAGTCTTAGGCCAGCCTTGCCTAGAGAACTTGAGAAGTAAGTCTGCCCTAACTCCCTATTATTATTTAGTGATGAAAATCTGAATGTAGTGGGTACGGCCCCCGGAGACCTAGGTGAGGCTTCTGTTCTCCTAAAGCATAACCTCAGACAAGTTCTTTGCCCTCTCTGGACCTCTCTGGACCAGTTTGCTCATCTGTAAAATGAAAGTTATGGAGATGGTTTCTGTGATTCTTCTAAGTTCTGACTTTCTCTCCCCTTATCTTATCTACTCCACAGCTGGGGAAGGAGAACTTTGGAGACATTCCTGAAACTTCCCTGACTCAAAGAAACCAACAGGTCTACCAGCTCTCCCTCCACCCGTCTTTCTGAGAAGAAGCCATGGCTCTAACCGATGCTGATGTGCAGAAGCAGATTAAGCACATGATGGCTTTCATTGAGCAGGAAGCCAATGAAAAGGCAGAGGAAATAGATGCGAAGGCTGAGGAGGAGTTCAACATTGAGAAAGGACGCCTTGTACAGTCCCAGCGACTCAAGATTATGGAGTATTACGAGAAGAAGGAGAAGCAGATAGAGCAGCAGAAGAAAATCCAGATGTCTACCATGAGGAATCAGGCAAGGCTGAAAGTCCTGACAGCCCGAGACGACCTCATCTCAGAATTACTCAGGGATGCAAAGCTGAGACTGGATAGAATTGTGGCAGACCAAGTTATGTACCAGGAGCTACTGGATAAACTAGTGCTCCAGGGTCTGCTCCGACTCCTGGAGCCCGTGATGATTGTGCGGTGTAGGCCTCAGGATTCCTTCCTTGTGCGTACTGCAGTGCAAAAAGCCATTCCTGAGTACGTGATGGTCTCCCAAAAGCATGTGCAGGTCCAGATTGATCAAGAAGCATTCCTGGCTGGGAATGCAGCTGGAGGTGTGGAGGTCTATAGCGGCAATCAGATGATAAAAGTTTCCAGTACCCTGGAAAGTCGACTTGATCTCTCTGCCCAGCAAAAGATGCCAGAAATACGAGAGGCTTTGTTTGGACCTAATGTCAACAGAAAGTTCTTTATATGACACACTGCAAAGAGAAGCTGGAAAGTGAACTGTTAAATCATAGAGTCTTAAATTATTCGGGCAAAGGAAGCTAGTAATGCTTCTCCTCTTTGAAAGCTATTGTCTTATCTTTTTTCACAAAAGAAAGCTTTAGCGCTGAATAGCTAAGGCATTATATTTTGTTAACTTTCCAGTAAAGCTCAGATTAATGCTCAGAAACCAAGTTCCAGTTCATTCACATAGAAGAGCAGCTGGGCCATTTTGTGGTCTGGGAATAGGGGAGTGAAGCTATCCTCTGTTAGTGCAGCCTTGGCGGAATGTGAATTGTGTTCTTGACCTGTGGGCCTGTGTGCTCTAAGTTTTCTCCCATATGCATGTGTGCTGTGTTCTTTTTTTTTTTTTTTTCCTAAGACAGGGTCTTGCAGCGTAGTTCTGGCTGGGACTACTAGGGACTCACTAGGTGGCCCAGGCTGGTCTCGAATTTAGCTGAAATCCTCCTGCTTCAACCTCCTAAGTGCTGGGATTACAGGTGTGCCCCACCACGCCCGGTACGCAGTGTGTTTCCCTTCATTCATTTCAGCCTCAGCAGCTGTGCTTATGTTACTTAATGAGGTTTGGAGATCTTTCTGACGTATATAGCGCCAACATTGTGGGTATCTGGTCAGATCAGTCATCCAGAGCTCTGGATTCAGAAGGCCCAGTCCTGTGGTTAGTATTCCAGAGCCTTAAACGTCCTCATTTTATCTGTGGAACTGTGACTTCTAAGTGACTCCTTGTTAGGACTTTAGAGCCTGTGCCAGGGATTGGGAACCTAAACTCACACATGCTACTGACTCCAGAGTCTGCCTCCCTCCCCCAGATGGTTTCATTAGGCTCCTAGCTCCCTGTGCACCTGAGGCCCAGCCATTCCTCAACTTACCGGTGAACCTTGCCACTGGCAAGAACCTGGTGTGTGTGCGGGCAGGGTCAGAGGGGGGTGCCTGTGTGCTGGGGGTTCCGGGGCAGGCATGGTGGTGGCTACCTGTGTCTGGCCCAGGCACAGTGCACAGATCTGGGGGCTGATAGTTGTCAAATTTGCTCGACCCAGAAGTCAGCAAAGCATTCCGTGCCTGGCAAAGTCCTCTTTTGGATAGTTCAAGCCTAGGGGGACTTGAGCTCATCTCTTCCAGTCAACGCGAAGCACTTTCTGGGAGAAGCCAAGAAACACAGATGGTGTAATTTCTGTGGTTTTGCACATGGGGCATTGCGCTGTATAAAAATGAATGGTAGAAATCATGCTAATAATTTAAATTTTTAATTTCTCCTTGGAAGACATTAAATAGCAAATAAATACCATGAAAAATGGAGAGAGAGAGAGAGAGAAGAGAGAGAGGAGAGGAGAGACTGACTACAGAGAAGGAAAAAACTTTTTAGTTTAGTATCTTAACTAGCACTTCTTTTGTTCTTTTAAACAAAGGATCTCATTTTATTTTGTACTGGGCCTTGCAAATTACATAGCTGGTTCTGCCTGTGTATGTGTATTTCAAGTCTAATCTGTGCTGGAGCATGCTTTATTTATTAAACATTTTTGAAGAAAACAAACCCTAAGTGACCCTGTCCAGGGCAACATTGTGTCCTGGGTGGTTAGTACCACACTGCAAGGAGGGCGGGGCTGAGACTCAAACACAAAGTAGGGGACAGTTTGTTAACAAACAGGTGCCTCACAGGCCGCAGAGGCAGGAGTCTATGGTTCCCCCAGCAGAAAGCTGGTGCTGGGACTCAGAAAACCACCTGGAGTCCTCTGTAAAGCCTCTTCATTTTGTTTTTCCCTCCGGAATGAGTTCTTCCACTGTATCCAGTTTAAATGGTGGGATTAGACGGCCCAAATGCCCGAGCTTACATGTGACAATGACAGAAACAAACCTACTCTCCTCGGAGCCAATTCTACTGTTCTGAGAAGGAATCCACTTGGCCCAGTGTGGGTTGCATGTCCACCTTTGGTCCAGCTAGTGTCCGGGGCAGTTCCCAGAGAAAGAAAGGGCTTTGCCAACTGGATGGATGCCCAAAAGGTGTCTTCTGTGTGGGCCCTTTGAGTTTCAAATTCATTCCACGACCATCTTCTAAGTGGCAGCAACGAGCTAGGCACTGCGCCGGATGCTGGGCGGCAGGAAACCATCTAGCCCTGTCCTTTAACATACACAGATGATGCCTACGACGGCCGTAGAACATGATGAGTGCCAGCCTAGTGTTGATACAGATACTGTGGTGGGAAGGGCGGTCGCAGAAATCTCTTGGCAACTGAGCTGGAGAAATAGCTCCAGGCAAAGGTGGGAAGAAGTCATGTGCAAAGGATGAGGCTGGAGGGCGGGCAGGGTGTGACTTCCCGGCCTCACGCACCCTGCTCAGGCATTGGTTTTAATTCAGCTGAAATTTAATTGAGTGACAGAGCAAGAACTGTATTTGGAGAAAAAAAAAACAACCCACCACCTAGTGTCATTGTATGTGGAGGACACACCAGAGGGGGGCGAAATTGGAAGACAGAGGCCTAAAGGGAGGCTACTCAGCAGCTTCAGTGAGCAATGAATAATCTCCCTAGCTCTTTGATGAGGGAGGTGAAACTCATACACAGGTCAGGAGAGATTCGAATCAGGGACAGTGCCCTAGCACACTCTCCTTGCCTCTCTCCCTCCAATACCTACGGTAACTTGTCCACAGCTTGAGGCCTCATTACAGGGTCACATCATCTTATACCTTTCCCCCAGCCCTTGGAACTACCTCCTCCTCTCCTGGGCGTCATTCCAGGCCAAGACAGCCTCGCCTCCTCCTCCCAGCTGACCTTTCCCTGGCTGCCTCACGTTCTGGGAACTTGGCTTCTCTTCCTACTGTAACCCAAGAACGTGTGGGACCCCATAGCCTTCCCAGCTCTGGCTCCATCTGTTATTGGTCCCTGCTGTTAATTCATCTCCCAAAACACGGGCTGTTGTGCAGATTTTATGGAAGTTCTGAAGGAAACTGAGGCCTGTGGGGCAAACTTTCCCCTAAGTCCCATCCAAGCATCTGTATGTTTTTCCAACTTCTCTCTCTGTCTCCAGCCCCTTGGATCCCAGTCTCCTCCTCCACTATGTCCCTTAGCAAAGCAAAAACCAAGTGACTAATTAAGCCTGACGTCCCGCAATTCCTGGCCCCCAGGGTGGCATCCCTCTGTGCGGACTTTTGTGTAATGCCTGCACTTACTGTTAGCTACTTTTTCTACCTGTCTCATCTCTTTCCAATACAGTGCCTCTGGTCAGGGAGTCACAGTGTTCTTTGTGTCCCTGCTGTGGTGTGACTTGGAGCCTGGCACTGGGCACGCACACAGGAAGCTCCAGACAAGTGTGGATGACTGCGGCATTCTTCTTCCCAGCCGGCCCTGGTTCCTGGGCAGAGCACGCCAGGGTGTCTCTCCTCTTCTGGCCCATGGGAAGGGGCTTTGGACAAGAAAACCCTTCACTGTTCTGGGAAAGGGGTGCTGAGGACTCAGGAAGACTCACTTCACTCCAGGACTGGTGATGCCCGCCTCTCTTCCTGGGATGCAGACAGGCTTTGCTTTGGACCCGTGTGCTTCTCACCTTTTCTCCATGGGGGCCTCAGCCTTGGTGGCTGTGTGGTCCCTGGTCCTGGGCTTGCCAACCCAGTGCGGTCCCATCCTGAGAAGGTGTGACAGCTGCAGCCTCTCAGGTCTTGGCTTTTCAGCTGGTGCAGCCCAGCCTTCCACACCTTTACTATTGCTCACGCTCCACCCGTGCGAAGGGGGAAGGGCCCTGTCCTGTGTGGGTTCCTCAGTCCCTGAGCTGAAGCAGCAAACTGTGACAGCCGCAGGAGGCACAACCTTCCCCTGCGCTCTCATTAGCACTTCTCCCGAGGTGCAAGGGAAGCTGCTGGCTGCAGGCAGAGCTCTGCTTGTGGTGACAGCCGCTGGGGGGTGCAGGTTGGAGCAGAGGGAAACTGAGCCCCCAGCAGCAGGCCCTGCCCAGCACACGTGCCCGCTGCCCTGTGGGTCAGGTCCCTCACCAGAGGCCACTCGGAGGATGGGGAGTGTGGATTTCCTTCTGACCCTGCCTGAAGAACCAGACATGGGACGGGTGCTTTGACATGTAGGGGGCCCCAAAGAAGTCAGGGACCAGACCAGCAGCACAGAGAATGCCACAGGGCTTCCTCTGGCCCTGGGGTCCCAGGACCCTTGGAAGTGGGTTAGCAGATCTACTTTGGCAGCCCCCCACCCCCTGCTACTTCTGGAGAGCAACCGTAGCCCCTTTTTGGGGACGTTGCTCTTTGTCCCCTTCTTATGCTCTCCCCACTACACGCCCATGCCCCTTTCAGTTTTTGAATGACATCTCTGAAGTCACTCCAGCCAATCACAGCATAAGGAAAGGATTCAGTCTCTCCTGCCTGCCACTTCTCACACTGATAAACCCTGGCTCGCTAGTGCCTGGACTGTGCTTCCCATCTGGAGCCAGCTCCCAGCAAACCCAGTGCACTTGTCCTCCAGGACAGTGCTTCCTTTGCTGGGAGGCAGGTACAGCAGGAGGCAGGTACAGTATCTCAAGTCCTAGGAAACCTTCCTGGTAGGCCCTTGCCTGGCCCTCCCCACCCCTGGACACCTTGCAGTGATTGAATCAAGAATGTTCTTTCAGGGGCTGGGGATTTAGCTCAGCAGCACATGCCTGCCTGGCAAGCGCAAGGTCGTGAGTTCGATTCCTGGTACCGGAAAAACAAACAAACAAACAAACAGAATGTTCTTTCCTCACTGGGAGATGAGCCCATAGAGGGGATGTTGGCTTCATCCTGGCTACCACACCTGAGCAGACTCATGTCCTGGCCATCACAGGGGTTAGGACTTGAGGGAAGCTTGGGAGCCAAATATTTGCTCAAATCTGCAGCTCACAGGAAGCCAGCAGCACTCCATGGTCACGATCAGTTAATAGGACTTGTGGGACTGCAAAGAAGAAAGGCTTGACTAGATAGCAGATGCCACCATTCACTTTACAAAAAAATTTACTGTGTAGAAGTTTGAGAGTGCTGGTGGCCAGCAGGTCAGATGGGATAACAACGGCATGGCCTAGCTGGGTGCTTGGAGGAGCCGTCTGTCTGTCTCCTTCCCTGGGTATCCTGACCTCCAGCTCAGTCTCAGGGGGGCCCAGAGAAGGGTGCCTGCGGGTGACTGCGTGGTGACTTGAGGGCACCAAAGAAAGCCTGGGCCC